TCCATACACAACACTCATATAAGTGTATTATATATCTGAGCGTGAGTGTGAGTGTGAGTGCGTGTTAATATGTGTGATTGTGTGGGTGTGAGAGTGTGTGTGTGAGTGCGAGTGTGTGAGTGTGAGCACGAGCGTGAGTGTGTGAGCGTGAGCGTGTGTGTGTGTATGTGTGTGTGTGTGTGTGTGTGTGTGTGTGTGTGTGTATGTGGTGTGTGTACGTGTGTTAAGAAAAAGTTACTTAATGAAATTGAAAACCACAAGTAGTACTCCAGAAAATTCATTCCATATTTGCATGAAAGAAGCAAGAGTGTGTGTGTGTTAAGAAAAAGTTACTTAAAAAATTACAAACCACAAGTAAAGTTTCAGGAAATTCACTTCATTTTTGCATGAAAGAAGTAAGAGAAGTATCATACTAGAGAAGAAAGAACCATTAATCAAATCAAGCTTGCAAGATCAAGATCTCAAATATCGAATAACGTAAAGAGATCCACCCCGATGATAAGTTGCTTTCATGCTTGTTGCTTTACAAGCAAACTCGATGAAGATGAAGCCCATCAATAATAATAGAAACAAGTACAAATCAGACAAAAAATTTTAGATGGACTATCACAATCGGGTATTTAGCATACCCAATTCATCAAGAGAAGAAACCCAGTTTTATGCCTAATTCTATACAAAGCAATATCAAATTTCGCCTAGGCTTATCTGATTAGAGGTGATAGCCAGAAGAAATAATCTCCTTCTTGAAGGCCCGAATTTATCACAGTTTGGAAAATTGTATACGAAAAAATCATTCACATAGAAGATAATGATTCGAATGGAAAGAATTGAGAGGAAAATAATAAAAAAAGAAGGGGGGGGATATGTTCAACCTTATTGACTGCAACAGCCACCTGTGCATTCATATACATATCAATGTACATCTACGCTAATAACAATAGAAACTGTTAAAAAGTGTATATATGGTCTATATCAACGTACATAAAAAAGTATATATGCGCACTTAATGCGTAAGGGTGCATGTGCGTGCGCATATCAGTGTATATATAACTGATAGCAAGTTTATACATACATGCATAAACATATCAGTATATACATATCATATATATACACACTGTATATATATATATATATATAAACTGTTAATATATGTCTCAGTGTATATAGAATGCATGTATAAGTGTATGCATATACATTATATATGCACTTATCAACGCGTAAGGGTGCACGTGTGTGCATATATCAGTACATATATATTGATAATTGTATACAACTGATAGCAAGCAACTGTATACATACACGCATAAACATATCAATATATACATATCGTATATATACACACAATAGTCCATACACAGCATGCATATATGTGTAGTATAAATATCTATGAGTGTGAATGTCAGTGTGTGTGTGTGTAAGTGCGAGTGTATGTGAGTGAGTGCGAGTGTGAGTGTGCGTGTGAATGTGAGTGTGAATGTGAGTGTGAGTGTGAGTGTGAGTGTGAGTGTGAGTGTGGGCGTAGGCGTGGGCGTGGGCGTGGGCGTGGGCGTGGGCGTGGGCGTGGGCATGAGTATGTGTGTGAGTGAGTGTGAGTGTGAGTGTGAGTGTGAGTGTGAGTGTGTGCAGTATAGAAATCAGTGTATATATATGTTACTAACTGTATAAACTGATAATATACATCAATATATATAGAAATGTACATATTATGGTCATATAATGCACTGTATATATACAGTTATGCCTTTTACACAAACACACATATCAGTATATATACATACACACACACACATGTCAATGTATTTTGTACACACTAATAAGTATATATAGAGCTGATAACTAATGTTTTGTATGGTTATATGCATTAGTATATAAAAATACACTGAATTGTTATACATCAATACGTACAGAAATTGAACTAATAACTGTATATATCACTGATAAACCCATTATACATATGCATATGAGTGTACGTATATACATATCAGTGTACATATGCAGTAGTAACTGTATAAACCGATAATAATTGTCTATATGATCATAAATATCAGTGTATAAAGAAATGTATGTATGCACTATCAATTCGTAAGAGTGCATGTGCGTACGCATATCAGTATATATAACTAATAGCAAGTTTATATATACGTGTGTAAACAAATCAGCATATACATATCGTATATATGCACACTATATATATAAATATATATATATATGTATATATATATATATATAAACTGCTAATGAATGTCTATATGGTCATATATATCAGTGCATATAGAATGCATGTATTGGTACATACATACACAGTATATACACTGATAATTGTTTATAACTGATAGCAAGCAACTGTATACATACATGCACAAACATATCAGTATATACATATCGTATATATATACACATCAGCCAATTCACAACACGCATATATGTGTATTATAAATATCTGTGAGTGTGAGTGTGAGTGTGAGCGTGAGCGTGTGAGCGTGAGTGTGTGTGTGTGTGCGTGTGAGTGTGAGTGTGATTGTGAATGTGAATGTGAGTGTGAGTGTGAGTGTGTGTGAGTGTGAGTGTGAGTGTGAGTGTGAGTGTGAGTGTGAATGTGAGTGTGAGTGTGACTGAGTGAGTGAGTGTCTGTCAGTGTGTGAGTGAGTGTGAGTGTGAGTGCGAGTGTGAGTGTCAGTGTGAGTATGAGTGCGAGTGTGAGTGTGTGAGTGTATGTGAGTGCGAGTGTGAGAGCGAGTAAGAGTGAGTGTGAGTGTGAGTGTGAATGTGAATGTGAGTATGAGTGTGTATGTGTGTGAATGTGAGTGTGTGTGCATGTGTATGGGTGTGTGTGTGTGTGTGTGCGTGCATGTGTATGACTGTGAGTGTGAGTGTGAGTGTGAGTGTGAGTGTGAAAGTGAAAGTGAGAGTGAGAGTGAGAGTGTGAGTGTGAGTGTGAGTGTGAGTGTGAGTGTGAGTGTGAGAGTGTGAGTGTGAGTGTGAGTGTGAGTGTGAGTGTGTGTGTGTGTGTCTGCGTGTGTGTGAGTGTGAGTGTGAGTGTGAGTGTGAGTGTGAGTGTGAGTGTGAGTGTGAGTGTGGTGTGGGTGTGAGTGTGGTGTGGTGTGAGTGTGAGTGTGAGTGTGAGTGTGAGTGTGAGTGTGAGTGTGAGTGTGAGTGTGAGTGTGAGTGTGTGCGTGTGTGCGTGTGGAGTATGGTGTGTGTGTGTGTTAAGAAAAAGTTCTTAAAAAAATTGCAAACCACAAGTAAAGCTCCAGAAAATTCACTCCATATTTGCATGAAAGAAGCAAGAGTGTGTGTGTGTTAAGAAAAAGTTACTTAATAAAAATTGCAAACCACAAGTAAAGCTCCAGAAAATTCACTCCATATTTGCATGAAAGAAGAAAGAGCAGTACTATACTAGAGAAGAAAGAACCATTAACCAAATCAAGCTTGCAAGATCAAGATCTCAAATATCGAATAACGTAAAGAGATCCACCTCGATTAAGTTGCTTTCATGCTTGTTGACTTAAAAGCAAACTCGATGAAGATGAAGCTCATCAAAAATAATAAAAACAAGTACAAATAAGATAAAAAATTTTGATGAACTATCACAATTGGGTATTTAGCATATCCTTCATCAAGAGAAGAAAGTCATTCTTATGCCTAATTCTATACAAAGTAATATGGAATTTCGTCTAGGCTTATCTTATTAGAGTGATAGCCAGAAGAAATAATCTCCTTCTTTAATGCCTGATTTTATTACTGTATGGAAATTTGTATATAGAAGGAAAAATCATTCACAGGGAAGTTAATGATTCGAATGGTAAGAATTGAGAGGAAAATAATCAAAAGGTTGGGGGGGACATCTGTTCATTTACCTTATTGGCTGCAACAGCCACCTGTGCATTGGCTAGTGAGGGGAAAATAATAAAAAAGGAGCGGGGGGGGGAATCTGTTCATTTACCTTATTGGCTGTAACAGCCACCTATGCATTGGCCAAAAGCTCCAAAACTCTTGAAAACCAAAAGAGAAATGCAATTTGAGCTTTCAAGAGAGAGAGAGAGAGCTCCAAAACTCTTGAAAACCAAAAGAGAAATGCAATTTGAGATTTCGAGAGAGAGGGAGAGAGAGAGAATCCAATTCTTAAGGAAAGGGGGAAGAGAGAAGTGATTCTACAAGAAATAAATACGAATGGGTTCTTAAGTGACCTTGTAACTGGCCAGTAGATCAGAGGGAGAGGTTTCTTGTCATAAAATAATTCTAGTCAAAAACAGGAATTGGAGTGTTAAAAAAGCTTCATGAGAAAGAGATAGGGAATGCAAAAACTAGGCCGAAACAAAAGAACAATTGGCTGTGGAAGAACCCTTGAGACCACAAAATAAAAAAAACTGACCCAGTGAAATCCTAAAACTAAATCTGGAAGTCTTTCTCCAGAGCACAACCAGATTAAGAAAAAGGGCATCTAAGAATAGTGGTTGTGAGCTCAAAAATATGAAAAACACTTAAACCCATTTTAGGTTAGAACAAGTTTTAGAAGAAGAAAGTAACCCTTACGTACAGAATAAAAAATAAATCCTAATAGTCATGCCTCTGTTACTAGGGCCATGGAACATAGATTCTTTAAAAATATGGAAAAACAAAGAATAAATGGCCATGGAAGAAATCGTGAGGCCACAAAATAAAACAACTGAGCCAATGAAAACCTAAAACTGATTAAGGAAATTTTCCTGAAAATACATCAGACAGAGAAGAAAATAACACTAACTATTCTAAGATTTCTAACAGAATATTTTAAAAGAAACTGATTATGAATCAATTTTGTGAAAATTTCACAGAATCAATTGCAAACCTCTGAGTCAAAAACTCAAATTTCAGAGAATTCACACTACAATATAAAATTTCCTGTGAGTCAAAAAAATTTCCTTCCTGATGAAAAAAACAAACTAGATTCTACACGAGCAAGCAGCTAATATTTCAATGAATTCACCATAAAATAAAGGAACCATAAAACGATCTATTACCTCTGATTAGGGGCACTACATTCCCGGTTGTTTCCATCTCCTCTTCCATCCTTTGCCAAAAAACAACAGCTCCAAAACTCAAATTTCAGAGAATTACACACAAGAATATAAAAATTTCCTGTGAGTC